AATTCAATTCAATTCAATTCAATTTATTTACGGAGGCATAAATGCATACCTTGGCTCCGCTATGAGCACTACCAAGGAAATAAAATACAGGAAATGTAAACAAACAACAGTATGTACATTGTAGATTCCATGCAGAACTTTAAGTTAATGGATAAAATCCATAAAATTATAATTAAATAAAATTAAATTATACTATACTTTAGTAAAACAAAGTATTCGCGCGACATCAAATCCACAAAATTACGAGTAGAAGAAATGAATACAGAAAAAAAAAACATAAGCGAACAGCAGTGAGTACATTGTAGATTCCATGCAGAACTGCATATAGAAGACAAAGTCCATAAATTACATACAGGATAAGATAATACATGTTGATATATGCAAGCAGCAAGAGTACATTGTAGATGCCATGCAGAAATGACATCAGTTCCACAGGACTACATGCAGAAAAATGAATACAGAAAATGTTAGTAAACAGCAGTAAATACAATGTAGATTCCACACAGAACCTCGCAATTGTGGATAAAATGCACAAAACTTATAATTAAATAAAATTCGCGTGTAACAACGTATTCGCGTGTGAAATAGTAATTACAAGACTCTATTGTTAAAGGAAAAGTATGATGTACAGGGACAAGCCACTGGTATTTTAAATTAATTTAAAATATAATTAAAAATTGCAGCCCGGCAGTTTTCGCCGATCCCTCTTCAGCTTATAATCAATAAAATTGTTTTGTAGCATACAGTTAATAATTTTTTTTAACAAAGATGTAAAATATGAAAATAACTTACAAAGCTACAATCTGCCACAGAGTCTACACTCTACACTGATATTTTGGGCCTGTCCGACATCAATCGCGATCGCGTAACATTGTTCTTTTATTTTTATATATGACGTCATCTATTAACATTCCGCTATTCAAATTAATCAAGCTATAATTACTTTTAATCGCTACATGTTTGCAAATTTCCTTAGCTACACATCGTGTTGTAGAAATAAATTTTTAATATTATCTTTATTAATTGTACAATTATTTTTACTGCAATGTATAAATCAAGGTAATTGCGTATTTTTTAATTTAAACTCGAACGGATCACCAGTGTTCTCTCCGCACTTAATATTCCTTCCGTTAATTAATTAACTCATCTGCCCATGTTTTTCTGTAATCCGAGTACGGGCCACCGTGTAATTTCTTTTCAAGATATTCTTCTAAGTTGTACAAAGTAGAATTGCGAAAATCTACTAACATTTTCTCCCGGATTTATGAGTTTTGAATGTAATTTTTAAAATAGGCGTTCTACTCTTTGGTAGATCCAATATAAATCGTTTTTCTTTCGTATCTTTATGGATTTTTATAATTACTTTATTTAAATTTGTTATTACTGTATTTCAGTTGTAGAATCCTCTTCTAGTTCTAAAAAAGCTTCATTTTTGACCAATTCCAAGCCCTCGTTTCTTTCCCATTCGTTAGCGATTAAACTAACTTATTCTGCTTTATCCGCCCGAAGAACAATTATATTATTTTGTTGTAGGCCTAGGGAAACATTTTCAACTCCTTCCTGTCGACCAACTACCGAAATTCAAAGTCGAAGAAAAAAATATTAACANTCTTTGATGAATCCAATATAAATCGTTTCTCTTTCGCACTTATCCACTTTTCTTAGTGATTTTTATAATTTCTTTATTTATATTTGTTATTATTTCAGTTGTAGAATCTTCTTTTAGTTCTATAAAATCTGCATTTTTGACCAATTCCAACCGATGGCTTTTTTCCCATTCGTTAGCAACTAAAAAAAGTTATTCTGCTTTATCTGCTCTAAGAACAATTATGTTATTTTGTTGTAGGCTTGGGGACACATTTCGAACACCTTCCTGTCGACCAACCGCCGAAATTCAAAGTCGAAGGGGAAAAATTTAACACGCAATATTTTTTGTAATAAACAATAAATTTTGAGACTTGAATATTTGAAATGTACTGTATTTAAAATAAAATCAATATAAAATAGTTCTTAATCTATTTTTTTCTTTTCTTTCATATTCAAATTTCCGTTTTTCGCAGGAAATTAGTGTCCAAATTGCCGTGGGTGATGGGTGGGAAGTCTAAATGCAATGTGCCTGTCAAATCTTTGGCAACTTCTCGCTGATTTCTGGTATTTACAATTAAAATAATTTCGATTCGTTTCTTCTTAAGACCGCTCTCGCGCAAGAAAAATCACTAAGGAAAAGTAATGCGAAAAAAGAATACAGAAAAGTAATTCTACAGCGATCCATCCGAATATACATCGGGTCTTCGTCAGATCCGGAAAAGAATTTAAGGAATGCACCCTATGAGAGTCGGCTATCTGGTCCTAGCCCACCAGTGGCCAAGCGGTCTTCGTTCCCTGAACACTGTGAGTTCGGTTGTGCGTTCCCGCCTCGCTCGTATGGGCTGGCCACGTGGAGTTTACCTGGTTTTCTCCACTTCTGTAAAGCTTAGTTCACACTGAGCGCGATTCGCTGGCGAAAGCGAAAAACAGAGCAAATAACCGGTCAAACATGACTTGTTTGACGGGTTATTCGCTCTGTTTTTCGCTTTCGCTAGCGAATCGCGCTCAGTGTGAACTAAGCTTAACGCCTATATAGGGGCCAGTTTCCCTTAAAAAGACCTCCCGGAAGGCATCCCCCCTAGGCAGATCGCCCAAGTGTTCGTTGCCATAACTTAACAAACAAACTATCTGGTCCTTAATCTATGCCTCTGCCTATCCCGGCTGGGTTGGATAATAATATTTATTAAATATAATCTTATTTGTAATTAAAAAATAAAATACAAATAAAATTTTGTAACTATTTTTATTTAAAATGATATGAATAAAATTTTGTTAAACATTATTTTGATTATGGATTTAAATGCCAAATACACCTTTTATAGCCAATGTTTATTGAAATACATAACGGCTTCCTTTGGATTTTAAACACGTGTTTAAGTTTAATGAATCATCTGAAAATGTCATTTTCGATTCTTTAGATATCAAAATATTATTATTAATCATACACGTGAGAATAGCATCTTTGTTAATTAAATATTTATGCAAGTCTTGTGTTTTCTTAACTAAATTACACAGTTGAAATAGAATTGAATGGAACAAATTTTTGGCTTCAATCAGTTTTAACTCCATTGCTTCTTTTTCTTTTTTCATATTCTCGAATTTCTTTATTGTTTGTACAAGAAAGTTCTCATTTGAATTTCCGATCTCTGTCAAGGAATCGGAACATATTCTAAGCATTTCCTCCCGATTTTCAAACTGATTTCTGAAAATTTCAATATACTCATTCATTTTCTGGAAGTGTCGTTCATAATCTACTTTTTTAAGAAACAGCCCAGTCTTTTCCTTAGTTATATACTTCTGTTCAATTAATTTATTCAAAAGAATACGAGTTAACCTATATAATTTGTGAACACAGTCATCAATATCCAGTTCATCGACATCATTCCACTGGCGATAACTCTCAGGAATAAAAATATAATTATTGATTTCTAAAAAAAGATCTTTCGTAATATTTCTCCATTCATCCATTCTTAACGAACTTTACTCAAATGACGATATTGACAATCAGGCTATTCATTAACAATATGAATGAATGTTACAACAATAGAAATGTCACGCCTGTATTAATTAAATTTTTCAAAATAAAAATTATTTGTTTATTTATTTATTTTATTTAAATAGAGAAGGAATAATTTTTAAAATAAATATTAAAAATCAATAAAGAATAAAGAAAAATATAACGTTTTGTTAAACAATTTCGAATTGGTCAATATGGAGCAGGATTTTTTTTTTATCATAATTTCGAAATTATCCAGTAAAAGTTTTTATTTAATCTGACGTCATCATTGTCTATTCGTTTGGTGCTGCGTATGCGACGTTACGTGTAAGGACCAATATTGAAATCTTGAAATGGATTGTCGAAGTCACTAAAATGTGTCTATAAATTGATACATTTGATATCATTCCACACGTTTCCTGTATAGAAAACTGCCTTTTTTTCGTTACCGAGTCGAAAATCTAGTCTTTATTACATATAATCAAGATGGCGGAAGAAACGTCGAGTAGCGCTGGTGACGTTGATCAGTCTAATCAGAGTTTCATTTGCGGAGTTGTCGAAGGTAAAGTTATAAAATAAATGACTATATTTAATCATTAATAAATTGTATATGTTTTTAATGTAGAAATATCGAATTATCTCGTAGTATTTAACAATGCTATATTGTTGCATTTCCCATAATTCGTTTCGTATTAATTAATTAATAACTTTTGATTAATTAATCAGAATATTGAAATTATGCATCATAAATTATTTAGTGAAAGAGACTGAGATGTAAGTATGTTTTTGTGTTTTTGACTGGATAAAGTCATTAAGAGTTACAACAGGGGAATGCAGTTCTTTTGACTAGATTGTGGACTTTCTATCATGGCAATTGCAAAGGAGATTGAAAGAGAAATGATCACTTCAAAATATGCATGGTTTCAACAGAATATCCAACACCAAATCAGGAAGGAAGTTGTGTACCACTGGAAGACTTCACTGGTTGGTTGTCATGCCATCAATGAGAACATCTGTCAGGAAAATTACAGTTACTTTGGATGGTGCCACCTCTCATGCTATCATCCTTTGTGTGCTGAAACACACAAATGTCAAGTACAGTACATACATCAGGCATAAGGGAGACCAGGACTGAAGGTGTGTCATAAAGTAACGTGTGCTGAGGGTGCAAAGAATTACAAATTTGGGATAATGAATGAAAGTGAGCTATCTTTTCAGGTAAAAAGAAGTTTAATTTAGACATATCAGATGGATACCAATGTTATTGTATGACTTTCAAAGAAAAGAGTTTATTTTCAAAAGTGACAGGAGGAGGTTTTATTTTTGTTTGGGGAGTATTTGGACACAACAATAACATTGACTTTTAGTGATAATTTAAGGCATGAACGAGCAATTATTTATTATGACATCATCACAATGCCAGGCTGCAATTTTTAATTTATTTAACTTAAAATATATTCTCTCCACCTCAAATAAGTAGTGGCTTGCCTCTGTATATTGTATTTTTCTTTAACAAGAGTCATGCTGGTCATCTAACACCTTTCAGGGGAAAATTTTGGATTGAAATAACTTGACTTCCAGTTTGCATTTGGAAGTCAAGTTATTTCAGTTCATATTCAAGTCATATTCATATATAGTTAATTGGGCTAAGGTTTTTAATATCTGGTCTCATCTTTCATCTATCTAACTCCATTCTTGAGATTAAGGAAAGACAGACAGATGGATGACAGTGGGAATTTATAGGTGTACAATTTTTTCAAATTGTAGCCCAACAACACACAGAAGTACATGGACGTTGTGTGGCCTCAACTAGATACTTGTGGTGAGAGGATTGCTAGCAAAGATGTGATCCAACAGAACAATGCTTTGTTTGTTTTCACGTGTCTCAAGCAGCCCAAGCCTTCTTTACCAGCAAGAGTACACAGCTATTTCCCTGGCCTTCATTTGTTTCCTGACATCAATTTAATAAGAACCTGTAGGGCATCTTGATTCCAAAAGTTTAGTCCAATAGCAAGCAGTATCCGAAACATCACCACTCTGAAATCTGCAATTATGAAGTGTGGGAAGAGATCTGCACAGAGACTCCAGAACCTCATTCAACTCTGCTTGAGTCTGATATGCATAGTGAACAATGGTCAGTCCATTGTTGTTTGGCTAGTGCTTTTGGATATAAAGGACCAGTCTTTTTAATGCACTCAGTTATGTGTGTCTTGATTTATGGTTTCTTTTGACTCTGAAGAAAGGCTCTAGTGATCTTTTTGGTCTTACTTTAAACTGGGCTGCAACTTTTGTCCAAATACCGCCTTATGGTGCAATCTTTCCTTGTCATTCGTTATTTTGCCCATCTTTAAAAAAGTTGTGGAATAAGGAGCAGGAAATGATTGTAACATTTGTCATAATTACATCAAGTGTGAGAAAAGCATCTTTGGTGCCTTTTGAAGAGAGTGGGCAATTGCTGCTATTGCTTCTGTTTTTGACCTGGGTTTGTTCCTGGTACAAACTTTTGCCTTCTCACTATATATTCCATGTCAAGCACTCTCTTTTTCAATTTTGTCTGAGACCCCTATGTTTTGATCAGTGAATTGAAAAAGAGACCAGCTTTGGTATTGAAGCCTTGCATCAGGCTGTACTTATCTTTGATGTCCAATTACACCTTTGGTTGACCCAAATATGACTTTCTGCTGCTGTCATAACCTGTTTTAGTCTACTCAGGATCTTGTAAATCCACTTCTGCTTGAAACCAGAAGTCACAAAATGTCTAACAATGTCTGATTTTTTTTCATGCTGGATAAAGCTCACAAAAAAATCTCTACTTTTTTCTGTCTTTCTTTATCTCTAATCTTTGTAATAATTTTGAAGAAAATAACTATTTAACAGTTGAAAGTAGATAACTTTTGTGTTCTAATTTACAAATTCATTCTACTCTCATATGCATCATGAATCAAGAAATCAAATTTGTACACATTTTCCAAATTTCTTATTTTAGCAGACTTTTAATTGTTTTGTATTGTAAAAAATGTTATTTTAGTGCTTTGTTTTTAAGAAGAATTTTGTTTAGTTTCCAACCTTATAGCAATATCTTTGCTACAACACATTTCTTTTTGGAACGTTGTCAGTTTCCATAGCAATTGTTTGTTTTCATACGCCTTCCTGAAGAAGAATCGTTGAATTTGAAAGTGTTTGAAATGGTTCTTTGTGCATTTAAAAGTTTTTAACTCTATTAAAATATTTTATTGGGTTTTTTTTTCTGTTCAAATTGAAGATGGTTTTATTCTGAAATAAAATTATAAAGTTAATGACTACATTTTTGCTGGTATCACAACAATTAGTAATTTTCATATAAACAAAAAAATGAATTTGACTAGATAAAATTTTTTTTTTTATTCCTAAATATATTTGTAACAACTATTTTTGTGTGTGTAAATCAGATTTTCAAATATCAGTGTAAATATAATTACCAATGAATGAAGAAAAGAAAAAAAAATGTATAGGAAAAGTAAACCAAGGAGCTCTTACAAGATGATCTGCATATTAAATAACAAATTTAATAACAGTTAATATAAACCAATGCAATTTCCAGATTTGTAATTGATTATGGAAATGATAAATGATGAATAAATGATTTCATTCATCGTAGGGAGGAGGTAGTGTAGAATGTGACAAAGGGAAGGGGAATGATTCTTGTGATGCCACATTTTTTACCATTAATTAGAATCTTACAGGTTCTTTTAACAATGTGTCACATTTAAAACATTTTTTAAAAATTTTATTTTTGTATTAAAATTTATAAGAACATCCAAAGATAGCAAAAAGTAAATGCACATCATACAGTTTGTTTACTATAGCTGGTAACACACAATCTATTACAGCCACAGTAAAGTGACAATTTCTGTTACTGTAATAGTGTGAAGTTTTCATCATCATATTCTCACTATTTGTGTGTTACAAGTGACTCCTTTGTTAGATGTTGGTAAGATACTATATAACCATTTTTTGTTTTACCAACACCCAACTGGCAATTAAGTTGTGTGTGCAAAAGGCTGCCATCTCAGTCCCTTCTGCACCACGGATCTTTGCTTTTACCAATGTAAACTGAGCATTCAAGTACATCCTTGATTTCTTCAGTTCGAGTTTTTATATATCAGAAGTCAAACAAATGTTGGGATAAGTAATATTATGAAATTGTTTTTGTGCTGTTTTGTAAAGTCATAGTCTTCTTTGTTTCTAAGATCTGTTGAGTTAAAAAAGGTAATTTTGTATATACATAGAATTTTGATATCCATCAGGGCAAAAGACTAAGATTAAGCACACTACTGTATTTATAAGTTAAGCAGTTATTTACTGTGTTAACTTGTTTAAAATGTTTATTCAAAGTTTATTTTCAGAATATAACTAAAGGAAAAAACATTCAATAATGTTTTCTAAATATCTTGCATGGACTGGAGGGAAACAACTTTTAAATTTGTTTGTAATGTAAATGAGAATGTGATGTGATAGGACATAGCATCTCCATGGATATCCATGCCACCAGCATTCCCATTATGTCAGTTAAAGAACACCTTACAAATTCTTGGTAGTGAAATAACTTGCTAGAAAGATATAGCAAATATAAATTTTGATCAATGTAATGCTATTGTTGTATAGTGTTTTTATTTGAATAAAAATGTAAATTAATCATTTTGTTTGTATCTTTTACATAAGTAATACAGTGTATTTATGATGTGATAATTCAAAGGCTTTGTTGGGGGTGACAACCAATGTAACATCATTTGTGAGAGGAGATTTGTCATAATGGTGACAGTGATTGATAAGGGGGAGAAGTTAAAAACACAAAATTTCAGTATGACATTATTTATGGATGGCCTTAATCATTATGTTCAACATTATTCAACTAATACTGGACTATCCTAGATGGGTCCATTTTGATTGTACTAATATCCCAAAAACCATGGTAAAGCCACTTGAACTCTCAAATATTCATTTAGTTTAAACTTTTGTTTTCTTTGTGTACTGTGTTGTATTGAAGTGTCAGCAATGGCATAGCCAGATGGGTTGAATAAGGTGAAGGAGTCACATGGTATGAATTTGTTTACTTGTTGTAAGTGTACTAATTTCTAAATGATTTTGTATCACATGACACTCTCAAAAGGGAACTTTGTCTGTTGCTGATATAATATGACATGCAGAAATAAAAATCTTGGCAAAGGTGAAAAATACTTTGAAATTTTTCTATTATGTAGCTAATAAATACTATGATAACAAAATACTAATTTTTGTTTGTTAAAAATAACAACAACTATAACAACTAATTTTGATTGTTGCTGTAGAATCTGACTCAGTGCAGATTAGAAAAAAAAAAATTAAACTAGCAGTTATTTTATTTTGATATTGTCACAATACCAGGCTTCAATTTTTAATCATATTTTTTAATTTATTTAATTTAAAATATGTACTCTCCATCTTCAAATTAGTAATGTCTTACTCCTTACATCATGTTTTTTCTTTAGCAATCAAGTCTTGCTGGTCATCTATCTAGCTCCTTTAGGGGGAAATTTTTGAATTGAAATAACTTGACTTCCAGTTTTCATCAGAAGTTTGCATATAGTTAATCTAGGTCTCCTGCTCTTAAGCTTATCATATCTGGTCTCAGCTTTCATCTATCTAATTCCATTTTTGAGATTAAGGAAAGGCAGATGGACAACATTGGGAATTTATAGGTCTACAATTTTTTCACTACTATGCATATGTAGCTAGAACTATTTCTAAGACTAACAGCACAAAACCTTTCTCACTAATTTCTAGCCTTATTAACTGGAGTACAAACGTTTTCGGCCTTCTTAATAGGCCTTCCTCGGGTACACTGTGGAGCGTCGGTTAGAAGAAGTTTAAATGCTGCCAATGTTTACCCAGGTGTCGTCTTACCCGTGACGTCTTCGTCGATGATAGGTATACGANATGATTTTATGTGCTTTAAACGTTTATCTAGTGATATTACGACTTCAATATTTGTGGCGGACAGACGTAAAGTCGAATAAAATGACTTAAACTTGATTTTTATTTTTCCATATACTTTTTTAACAAGCGACGTATAATCGGGAACGACGTAACTCGAAACCGACGTAAGTCGAGGTATGCCTGTAAAACAAAAATTTAAAGATAATGTAATAACGAATAAAACCTACTTTTAAATAATGTGATGTATTCCATTCTGTCTTTATTTTATTCAAATTTAATTATAATTTAAAATGTTAATAATGAAATAGAGACAAATTATTTTATAATATTCTGTATATTTAAATTTATTATATAACAAAATCAATGTTTGTTTCCTTTTTTATAAAGGATTTTATGGAAGACCATGGACACCAGAGCAAAGACGAGATTTATTCAGAAAGTAAGTTTTAATTGTTTAATGGTAGCATTATTAATGGTTTTAATAGTTTAATCTATATATATAAAAATGAATGTGTGTGTGTGTCTGTCTGTCTGTCCTTCATGCATTACCACACCGTTTATCCGATTGCCATGAAACTTTGGGAAGTTTTTTAATACACTCCTGCGAAGGTTTCTGGCATAGTACATTTATTCTACAATAGATGGCACACGTGTATAAGAGCATTTTACAGTGTGTTTGATCGATTTCAAATTGTGAAGACCATTTCCTCCCTCCAAAAAAATATCTCTATATATGCATTTGTTATTTATGATATTTGTAATAATTTTTGCTTAATCACTTTATTTCAACTTTTTTTTGCTAATTACGTATTTGCTCGAACTTTGTTAAAACCTTAACTGTATCCTGAACAACAACCGAAGTTATAGAAGGAAATTCGCCTATTTTACCGATCTAGGGATCCCCCTTTTCCAAATTGTAATATCAACTCAAAATAATTTAAAAAGACAAATTACAATAAAACAGTTTATTATCCAACTATCAGTAATTTCACAACATGCCAAGGAAGAGAGGAAGGAGCAATTAAATAATCAAAATTATAAAGGATTACAAAATATATATAAAAATGGGGACTATTGCACTTCTGACAATCTCTGCGAGTATATGGGCTAAATTTAAAGAATCCGTGTTTCTCACATGTACAAGTGTATGTGGCCAGCTCACGCGTCGGAAAACCTTCTGATTTATTCATGTACGCACCAGACGGAAAAACAAAAAATATCGTGTATCCACAAGCACTCCAATAAATAAATAGAATTGAAATGACACTTTGAAATGTTTTCCCGATTAATAATAATAAGTTTCAATAAAAAATGATAAAATGTAAATTTAATTTTATCACAACAAGTTTGCTTGAATTTTGTTTCTTCTGAGATCGCAGCAATGCGCGACAGGTAAGCTAGTCTTGATGACTCGTCCTGAAATCTCTCCTTTGTGTGGCATCTTGAGTTTGGGAAAGAGCCAAAGATGGCCAAAGCATGTCTGGGGAGTAAGGAGGTTACTGAATCCTGTGCAATATCCTGTTTTGCAAGAAATGTCTGGATGAGACATGATTCCTTGATCAGAGCATTATCATGATAAATGAATCAGACATCAGACTGCCAGAGTTGTGGTCTCTTGCATGCAAAAAATCTCATAAGTGACATAGAACAGTAGGTAGTACTCCTTTCACAGTTTTTCCATAAGGGACATACTCTTGATAAACTCTCCTGGTGCCAAAAAAAACAGTCCTTATGACCCTTACATTATTGCATGATTGTTGTTTTGTCTTTGTTCCATGGAGACCATGGCATTTTCCACCAAGATGATTCTGCCTTTGTCTCAGAGTCATACCTGTAGAACCAGATCTCATATCATCATTAAATTAGGATCCATCATGTTTTGCCAAATCACTAATATGACAATACCATTGTATGTATGTATGTATATATATACAGTAGATCCCCCTATAAGACGGTAGATACGTTCCGTTCTTTATGAATCAATTTTGTAGGAATCATAGTTTACGGACTACGGCTGTTTGAAAGGTTTTCTTTCATAAAATTAATCGATTCTAGACTAATTCGACTCAACATTTCCAAAATACGTATATTTTTTTG